GATGATATGAAATAACTAGCTCAAGTGGCATCCTAGCTAACATATTTTTGTTATTTGATTAGTTTAAATACATCATCCTTGGCCTATAAATAGGACTAGTAACCAACCAAGGAGTTAGATGAAAGTGAGATTAGATATTAGATTTTAGGATTTACATTTCTTGCATTTACTTTTCATGTTCATTTTCTTTCAAGCAATTTACTCCTTATTCTTTAATAGGGTTATTTGGGAGAAAATTCATTTAATTTTCCAACAAAACTTACATTTTTTGCATTTAATTTTCATGCACTTTAAGATTCAAGCAATGCAATTTAATTTTTATTAGTTTTCTTGCACATTTACAAGTTTTTCCATTAGTTACTCAAAACTGTTCGAATATTTTTAGCTCGTACTACTTTTAGTTTTCATATTAGATCTCTATGATTTCTTGCTTATTTTACTTCAATTGTTTTTCTTCAAACTCTCAATTCATAGGACGTTAGATCTAGAAATTTTCATTGTCAAATTTCTTCTACATTTTTTTTCTAAAAATTATCAAATTCTTGGTTGGAAATCTAGTAGTAGGTGGTGACAGTATTTATGGTGGCTTTTTCTCCATGCTAGGTAGCTGGATGATTCTTTATCTCTTTTACACTTGTTATTTTACTTGTTTACTTTAAGTTTTATGATTCATTGCCTTTAATTTCATGCTTTTACATAGTCTTTGGTTAATTTCTTTTCAATTGCTCTATTTTTACATTTTTTGCACTTGATTTTTGTAGAAGTTGATTGAGCTTGTTAATGCATTGTTTTGATTTATTTCTTTGTTAGATCTTGTAGTTAACTTGTAGATCTAAGTTTCCTCAGCTTAGTTTTAGTTCATTCACACTCTAGGATTATAGATCTAGTTTTAAATTTTGAAATTGCTGCATTTCCAAATTTGAAGTTAGTTTCGGGTTTTCAAGATTTTGAACTTCCCTTGCAATTTCTCTTAAACAAGTTCAATTCAATTATGGTTTAATTCATGTTTCATTGTTGTTCTTGCATTTAATATTTTGTTTTAGAAAAAATGTAATAAGAATTAAGATGTATTTTCAAAGGAAGTTTAGTGGTTAGTTAGTTTCATTTTAGGTAGTTAAATTTGGTTTACATTCAATTTTCATGTTTCACTCGATGTTTTGTTTTAATTTTATCTTTCTAATTCATGTTCAATAGTTTATATATACGTTTCAATGATGTTTGATTTCAATCAATGCAAATTAGCTATTGTTTTTCTTAGGTTTTCATGTATACTTTCTTTGCACTTATTAAGCTTGTTTTCAGTTATGTGCATTTCACTTCTTTGTTTTTACTTTCTTGTTGAGACTAGCTTAATAATGCTTCCTCTAATCGAAAAGATTAACTTTAAATTGAGTGTGGTAAGAATAGATATTTAACTTGAACTTTTTAGCTAATCCTCATAGGAACGATCTATGTGCTTGTAGAAATCTCCAATCAAGTTTTTGGCAACATTGTCGAGGATTAGGTTGTCAAGATTTCTATTAGGCTAATATCATGCTTTGACATGCTCTTTTATAGATTAATTCACCTTTAGTTTATATAACTTAGGATAGTTACTTAGTGTACATGGCCTTAGCATAGCTTAAACTAAAGTACATGCATATTCCTTTACTTTACATAGCTATAACGTAGATAGGTTAACGTGGATAGCCTTAGTATACATCGTTTTTGTTTAGGATTTATTTTTCTTCTCATGTGGGAATTTAAGCTTTATGAGGTAGCCAAGCACTATGAGGACCATGCTAAACCTTATTATGCTAATGACTACTTAGTACAATGGTCAAGTGATGAAAATAAAGCCAAAAGAGAGTAAACCCTTAAAGCTTTATTTATAAAAATAAACTCTTCAAAAAAGCAACTAGAAGCCATTAAAGCTAAAAATGATTCTAAACCAAATCTTGTTCATCAATTCCCAAGCCAAGATTATAATGGTGAAGTGCATGGTAGAATTTACCATAGTGATAGGTGTTCATATGATGAACAATCTCAATTTTACTCAAACACCTACACTAGTCAAACTTGGGAATGTTACCCTAAGCACATGTGGGATAATATTTCGAGGCATTCTTTTAGTTCACCTTTTAAGTAAGTGTTTGGATGCAAAAGTAGCAATTCAATTAGGAATGATAAAACAACTCATATTCGATAAATTTTGACTCGTCTTAATCGTACAAGGGTGATTTTTTTAAAAATTGAAGGTCAGATAAGAGGTAGGTCAAGTATTTTTCTTTTAAAAATCAAGGTCAAGTCGAAATTGAGTTTTAGGGTCCTCTGTTGCAACTTCCCTCAAGATATATATATATAATTTTTTTATTTAATTTTATATTTTTATATATATACATATATATTAATAAAATTAGTATTTAACAACTTAATTTAAAATATTAATTTAATAAAAATACTATATTTATATATAATTAAGATATAATTTATATTAAAAATAATATTTTATGAAATAATATTATTTTGGATCAAATGAGGATTAAATGCGAATTACATATATGTGTTTGGTCAAAATCAAGTATTGAAATAATAATCTGCAGTTGGGTTAGATCATAATCTGATAAGATTTTTTAAAAGTTGGATAGATGCTAAGGCAAGTGAAAACTTGTCACACATCAACTCGTTGTCATCCCTAGTGCACTGAGGTGAATTATTAAAAATATTAAATTAAAAATTATATTTCACAAACATTTTAAATTATTTAACATTTATAAAATTAATAAATAGTTAAAAATTATTAGATTTTTTTATGTAAAATAATAATTTTTAATAAATAATTAAAATTTGATAAAAATAATAATATAACAAATAATTTTTTTCTTTATTTTTTATTATTTATGTAGTTATCTATTTTTTAGTTAACTTGTATTAATATTTTAACAATGAAATTTAAATATTTATTAGTATATTATATAATAATAAAATTTATTTATTTCTTAATTCATAATATAATAATAAATTTTATTTATTATAATAAAATGACAAAATTATTTCATAATTTTTAAATAAAAAATTAACATAAAAAAATTGTAGTAACATTTTTGTCTTTACGATATAAATTGAAGGGTAACTAAAAGGCAAAACATAGTGAAAGGTCTACTAGGGGCCGTTTCGATCCAATTGCACCTTTAGTGGGGTGCAGTTGAGATCCTAACTCCACTAAAATCACATTTAATATATTAGTGCAGTACCATAAAATTTTAATATGTATAAATATATTATTAATTTTTAATAAAATTATGATTTCATAAAAAAATTTATTAACTTTTAATTATTTGTTAAATTTATAAATATAAAATATATAATAAAATTTATTATATATCAATTTTAATTTAATATTTTTAGTATTTTTTTATTTTTATTATATTTTATATTATTATCATCTTTGCATTTGTATTTAAATAAATATCATACCACTATTTTTAATTATATTTTTATTTAATTAATTTCATCTCTATTATTATTTTTAATTTTATTGAAATTAATTTAATCATTTGTCTTAACGATATTTTAACTGACGAAAATTATCTAGTAGCTGAACAGAGAAAAAAAAAAAAAGCATGATTACCGTCCCACACCAAAGACACCCATTCCCACGGACGTCTAGCACATTTTGCATAGGCTTAGATGCAAACCACCCCACACCGAGGATAGAAACTAATTTATATTTGAAAAATAAAAAAAAACTTTTTAAAAATAGATACTTTGAAAACTAAGTTATTTAAAAAGTTAATGTCATAAATAATTTTTAAATTATAATAAAATATTTAATATGATATTTGAATTATAAATTTATCAAATAAAATGATATTTAAAATTTTTTTTTATTTATTATGTGTTATAATTCGAAATTAGTTAAGTTTAAGATAAATATTATATTAATTAACAGATTTATAATTTAATTATCATATTAAAAATTATTAAAGTTCAAGTATCATATTTAATATTTTACTATAATTTAAGAATCATTCATGATATTAATCTTTATTTAAATTATAATATTTATAAATATTTTAAGAATCTATATTATGTTTAAAAAATAAAAAATATTTAAAATAAGATATTCTCAAATGTATTTATTTTAAATTATAATATTTGATAAAATATACTAAAAATTTTAAAATATGTATTATTTAAAAAAAAAGTTGAGAACACAAACAATATGCGCTATAAATTTTGAGGACCAAGAATGTTACAATACAATCAACGACTAACAAGCTACTTTTTGAAATTAATGGACCAAAACAACGTGGGTTCAAAAATTTGAAGACCACCATTTACCTTAAATCAAAAAGAAATGAAGCTTCTATTTGGCATTTTTTTTTTTTACATTTTCTTTTTAAAATTATTTAATTAGTTTTTTTCATTTTAAAATTTTTTGCATATTTATATTAGGTAAATTTTTTAATCAATCTTGGTAGACAACCCTAAAAATTAAACTCTAAATTCAAAACTTCAATTAATAAAAAATCTCATATTTTGAAGAATTTTTATAATATTAAAAAAATATAATTTGTTTTAAATAATTAAAACCTCATTTATAAATTGATGAACAAAAACTATAGATTTAATATAAAAAAGCACATGATTACAACATGTGTTTTTTAATTTTTTTTTATTTCCATAATATTTTTTAATTTCTTTTTTATTTCAATAATCTAAGAAAGGGGAAATGATTGATATTTCTAATAAATGTTTAAGCCACTTAAATTATATTCTTAATGTAAGTTTAAAATTTTTAAAAATTTTCGTATATGTGATCCGGAAACATTTAAAAATTTTCAAATTCACATATTTGAAAGTTTTTAAAAATGTTAAAATTTTAAAATTTGCAAACTTATATTTTTTATTTTTTTTAAATTAATTAAATAATTTTATTTTAAAATAATTTGAAATATATATAAAAAAAAAAAGAATACAAATAAGCTCATAAAGAAATGAATTCTCATAAAAAAATAAAAAAATAAAAAAAAAAATGGTGTTGATTGCGGAGCGTCGTTAGCAAGTTTTAAAGGCAAATAAAAAAGCGAGGGGGAGGTACTGAGTTATTAAAAAAGAAGCTTGCAATTTGCGAAGTAGAAAGCTAGTTGGTGAGAATGTCGTTTAGAGGGAAGAGAAAGGACGGAGAGGATCACGCTTCCGAAGAGCATGAGGGCCACGCACCCACCAAGAAAGCCTCCAAAACTTCTGCTGCCGTCGACTCTGACGATTCCGACGACATCGTCGTCTGCGAGGTCATTCTCCACATTCTCTCGCTCTTTCTCCCTTTATATTCTATTTCATGGCTCTATTTTTCGAACATATGCGATTCTAGGGTTTTCTTTTCTTTTCTTTTTTTAATTTTTTATTGAACAAAGTTAGTGAAATCTGGAAAATTTTCCTTTTGGGCTGCAGATATCCAAGAATAGAAGAGTTTCAGTGAGGAACTGGAATGGAAAATTTTGGGTTGATATTCGTGAATTCTATATCAAGGATGGTAAACAATTGCCTGGCAAAAAAGGTCCTTTTCTTTTCTTTTTTTTGTTTTATTTCCAAAAATTTTGTTTTCAGGTATGTGTTATTTCTGTTTTTTTTTTTTTTTTTTCAGTTTACATTTGAAGTTTGACTTAACTTAGTCTCTGATATGTACAACAGGGGTGTTTTAACTGAGAAAGAAAGTTATGTTGTTGTATACAGGCCTTCTATCCTGCAAACTTGTTTGTTTTCTTGAGTATAGTCCAATTTTTCAGTAAGTTTGAACCTAAATGTGAAGGGGAATGTTAAGTGTTGTTATTAAGTTTGGTTTGTTGTGACTTTAATTTAGGTTGGACCTTTCTACCAATTGCCTATTGTCTTAGGTTAGATTAAAAATATGGTATTGCGATGCATTTTGTTAGTTATTCTGTTTTTATTCATTGCTTATTGTCTTGTGTTCGTTACTTACGTAAAAAGTTTTAAATATTAGCTCTACTAAAGTTCATCATCTGTTAAAGTTCAATGTTTCCTTCATGACTTGCTTTATGACTTAGCACCAAGGCATGCACTTGCCAATGCTGCCCGCCCCAAATTACTCATGGTATTCTATGTTGAGATTAATGTACTAATTTTTTTTAATATTAATTTGGTTGATGAATTTGTTTCCCCACTGTTATTGAATTTCAACCAACGTAAATAGACTTTTTCAAAGTTGGGAATCTCTGCTATTTGTATCCGATAAAAGGAGAAAACCCTTATTTGAAGAAGATATAGATTGTTGATGAATTTTTGGGTGGGTAAATTTGCTTTGGAAAAGTTTGACATCTCTCTCTCTCTCTTTCTCTCTCTCCATGCTTATCTTGGTGCTACACTGGGATTCATGTTGTTGATGCATAAAAGAATTTGAGGATTTTGGCTTCTGAAGCTTAGAGTTGGCATCTTTCTTTCCCATTTTCTTTTTCCTTTGTAATTGTTAATATTCATGAACTAACATCTTATGCTCCTTCTAGGTATTGCTCTGAGTCTGGATCAGGTATGAATTACAAAGTTTATGCTTTCTACTATGATGATTATGGGTACGTTTCACTTATCTGATTTTCTTCTGGTTCAGTGGAACATTCTACGGGATCATGTGGAGGAAATTGATAAGGCACTTGCTGGGAACTCTTAGGAAGTAGACATGGTGTACCATTTACAGAAGATGATGGGAGTCTAAGGTGTCAGGGCTTCTTTTTGTTTATGCTGGAAAGTGAAGTTGCTGGTGGTCGAGGTTTTGTGTTTTACCAGAGGTCTATATTGACTTGGTTTTGAAGTTGCTAAACTTAAAGATTTCATTAGGCGGACCTCCCTTTTGTGTAATGAGTTGTGTAGCTTTAGCTATAAAACTAATATCTGCTGTATCTTCATGTTGGATGATATTAACATGATCAGTAAATGGAGACTTGGAGGAAATAGATAGGCCTCTATAGTTTTCAGTTGAACTTTTCGTCAATTTTCATGCATTTGAACTCTAGCAGCACTAACTAAAATTGTGGATACCGGTTTGGCTTGAAAGATAGTGGTCAGCTCAGCTATTCAGAAAGAGAAATTAAAGATGCAATTCAATAAAACAGGGAAAAGAAAGAAAATAAGTCGTTTTTGGTATTTTCTTCGCTAAACTTTATTCTTTTGTTGGAAATATGTAATTGAGAACAAGAGGTTTCAAAGGGATGCTTCAAATGTAAAAAGTAAACCAAGTTGAACCGTCCCTCAAATTGGTGTTGATCTTCAAAGTCCGAGAAACACTGCAAAAATGCCAAATGGCATGCTTCAAAGGGGTCACCAAGAGCTCAAAACAATGAATCGATAGAAGAATCTAGCATGGTTATTGTTTCATGACAATTTCAAAGAGAAAAAAACAGAAGGAAGAGAATTGCTATTGGCATCCAGGAAAGGGAGCAACGCAGTATCTTAAATAAAGAAAAGACAATAGAGAAGGGCAAACCAAATGAAAGATCAACTTTATAGTAATTAAATTCCTGGATAGCAGAATCTGAAATTTAACTTAGTTGGTTCATACAATTACTTTTAAAAAATCTTTAGAATGCTTAGTTGATTTATGCGGCCATTCTTAAAAGATGATTTCCAGTAAAGTTGAGATTCTAATCCCAACATCTACAACTCTTTTTCTATTCTCAAGCTAGAGCTTATTCTGTACCCAAAAAAAAAAAAAAAATCCAGGATAGCTGCATTGCAAAGTTGATAACAAGGAGAAAGAGCAGGAGGCAGGCAGTTCTTAAACATCATCTTTTTCTTCTCTTGTTCTTTTAATAAATAAACAAAGGAAAGATCTAAATACAGATGAGAGCGGTTTTCAGAAGTTCGCTTGGCATTCACATCAGAAAAAGCATACATATGCACAAACAGCATATACCATAACTTCGAACTAATATAACACATTAGAACTTGAATCTCATGGCAATTTTGCTTGATGAAAAGGTTTTAAGTGCATAGAAACATATCAATCTAAGTTGTCTGCATTTACAGAAATCACAATACACACAAAAGTTGGGGGGAGGGGGGGGGGGAACCCTGAAAGTCAATAAGGACTTGGCATACTCTTCTTTCGGCTTCAACCACCTGGGCCAACTCAACCTTTCAGAAGTTCTCCAATAAAAAATTTTAAAAAAAAAAGGCACATTTAGAAGCAAGAAAGCAAAATCTATTTTAAGGCAATCAATCTGACGTAGCAAGGGCTGAATGCAACACGTCTTCAAGATATTTTTCAGCAGCAGCATACTGCCTTTTCTTGTCCTCGATTGCTAAGGCAGCCAAAGCTTTATCCTGCACAACAAAAAAAAAATAGTAATAATGAGCTTGTTAGGGTACCTTCCCTCATGATCAGTGACAACATTAACAGAACACCAAAAAAGGAGTTGCAACTCCAAGACAAGTATCAAAGAGAATCATCCCATTTCAAGGACAGGGATATGGAAACTAGGGCCCTAAGTCTAAAACATCCTACACGGTCGAAAACAAAATTGAACTTGATCACAGACCAGCTGAATAAACAGCATTACCTATATTATGATTTGTTGACAAGGATACAAGTGCTACATGACATGCAGTGCCAAGCAGGGTACCCCCAAAATGTTAGGACACATGGAAAAGGGTATCTGATTATGCATTTGACGAGATTAAATGTATACATTAAATATAAATTAGTTGTTCATATGTTTATACATTAAATACATTTGTTTAAATGTATATCACAACCATAAATGATATTGAGAAAGAAATATGCAAAAAAAAGAAAGAAAAAAAAAAATAAAACCTATGTGAAACTTTATTGTAAAGATGCATGGCAACCTCGTATGTCTCCAACTACGTTTTTATTCTTGTAACTTAACACAAGACATGATGCGCAATGAACCCAGTTGGACAAGAGGATCCTGTACCAAAGAGTCTGATATAGAAGATAAACACAAAGTGTAATGGTGTAGAAATTTTGAATTGCATGGAAAAAACATGAACTCCAAAGCACTAATGCTCCAATGTCAGCCATAATAAAAAATTACCGGAGGCAAGTCCTGATAGCTCCTCAAAGTATCTAAGATGGGCTTGGTCTTCTTCTCTAATTCCTTCCTGTGCTCAGCCATTTCAACCAACACCCCATGATTAATTTCGGGCGTGTAGCCCACACGATTTAGTAATGCCTGACAAAAAAGATTAAGCATAAATGAAATGCAGAAAGACTTGAAGCAAGAGAATAGTAGGTGATTATTTGATAGCCAAAATCTTGATAATATTAACAATGAGGGGAGAAGACAAGACTAGCTACGTACTTGTAGCTTTACGTGCAGCACTGTATTATTTAAATCCCATCATATGCACATGTGCAAAATTCACCAAGGAAAATGATTCATCTACTCAAATGATCTAAAGATAAATTTGCAGCAACTATCAACTAGAAAATTCTAAAAGAGGTCATTGACTACGACTGGAGGAGAAGAATACCAACCTTTTTTGGTGATTCTTAAATCAACCAGTTCTATCGAGTAGAAATGTAGAATAGCTTTTTGTATTAACTGGTTGGGTGAGAACAAATATCTTAGTGGATAATGAACAATTTGATAGGATGCTAGAGATAATAGCTACATAATTCACCTCTTTGGAAGAAATTAAGATCCTATAACCCTCAGCAGAACTAGTCCGAGTGCATGAGTTTATTGATTGCAAAATGGTGCCTATTTAGCAGCTCTAATGACCAACAACTATGGCAAAGTAGGCTTCAAGGCTTTTAAAAATAATACAAGGTAATCAAACAATCTATCATCTGGCCCTTGCATTCTCATAACAGGTCAAACTAAGTTAATTTTCTACTTACACTTGAAGCCAAAAGCCCAAAACCAAAGAAAAACTTTTCAAATGAACAGCCACTTTTAATTTTAATTACAGACAACAGAATTTATGGGCATAAATCGATTAAAACTACATTTTATGGACGAAACTAAGAATAACTCATTTGGAAGCCTGCCATATTACCAGAATTGAAGTCCAACCAACCTAAGAACTGCAAGGAAAAAGCAAACTAATGCGTGGCTCATGACTTACCAAGGTGAATCAAACTATTTATACATAACACGTATCATATAAAACAAAGTGAGAGCAGTATTATTATTTTAATTTTTGTTTATTTTAACCTCAAAACAAGTTCTTTCCATGATAAACCAGCCAGCACACTGTGAGTATTTGCTCCATCCAATTAAACCCTAAAACCATACATCTTTTTCCCCATGTAAGCAGATTTTCTTAATCACTTCCTGCCTTACATCACATCAACAATTTGGTAAAATAGATGCTATCCTCTTTGGAAACAACCAAAGTCTAAGGTCAGGGTTGTTCATAAATAGCAAAAGAAATCACTTACATCCAAGGAAGTTGAGTTTGGTGTCCAAGGCTGTTTTGGTTAATCCATTGTGTTAAGTAAAAGGGTTTAAAGCAGAATTTAGTTTTTGATTACTCAAGGCTAATGATTCACAGAAACATAATCCAAATAAGACAATTTAGTATATTCTTACACAAACTTTCTCTTGCTAAAACTTTTCATATTCAGAGATTTTGGAGAATTTTGTGATTTAAGTGATTGTTTCTTTTCCACCTCCGACATGCTTCTTTCTTTCTTCTTGATAGTATCTCAGCAATTGCTTTTCACAGCTTTGAAACATCAACCATGTAATATTCACCTCTTTTCCCTCTATCCACTCTGTAGTACCTCAGATAGACATGCTGGTTTCAGCTTTAAAATTGAACCATATAATCTACTCTATTCTAACTCTATCTATGTATAAAATTATAAGTTACCTTTTCAACCTATTTTATTTATTATAATTTTGAATTATAATACAAAGTTCTTTTATACATAGAATGTCCTATCTGTATTTCTATATGACATTGATAAACTATAAACCTGCCAGTCAGCTACAATATTAACCATGAATATCCTGGTAAATTTCATCAACTTATGGCATTGGCAGCTTTTCTTTCATCCATTTGTTTCCTTTTTTACTGGTGAATGGCAAGGTCATCTCAGAAGAACCAACAGCTTAAATTTCTCTAATTAGGTCTGCAACTTAATGCTTCCTGAAAATAATAATAATAATAATAATACAAAGGAACCATACCTTATAGTTGTTATACTGTTGCACATACTGTCGCTCCTTTGATGCCATAACTCCCAAGTTCGTCTTCCAATTTTCCATTTGAGCCTCACATGGAGCCACATCATCTTCTAGTTGAGCTAATGTCCTACACCGCAAAGGTGAGTCCTTCTCAATAACCACAGACTCAAACAAAGAGTTAAATTTAGGGTGGCAAATGTATAAGTTTTACCTTTTCAAATAGGTTAGCCTTGCAATTGCTTTTCGAGTATACTCGAGAAGAGTTTTGGACTCTTTGTGCACTTTAGCCCTCTTCTCCTCTACCCCAGTTTTTCTTAAAGAAATATCACCCATTGCTACAAGAAAACTAGATTCAAAATTTTTTGTTTCAGTCTCATTAAATTCCAAATATAGTACACGGAAATCAACATGAATTATGGAAGTATTAGAAATTGTAAGTTGAAGGCAACCCACCTACTAAGTTCAGTGTCTCGAATATTCAACAAATTAGCAACATTTGCCAGAACATGCGCCGACGCAACAACATTTGACGGCAAACTCTCCTGCGCTAATCCTACGTTCTCCAATATCTCTCTAATTCGTGCCGCTATGAAAGAAATTTTCATTTTAGGCAGAATAAGACAAACTTATTGAAATTAAGAGAAATTTAATTCAAAAAATAAGAATTTTGGGACCTTGAGAACGGTATTCGGCGGCTTTCTGGCGAAAATCATTGGCAACAATGTTGGCTGCTTGAGTCTTGGCCTGCGAGACAGTAGCCAGATTGTACAAATGGGCGATGCTTCGCGGAGTGTATTCGAAATTAGGGACTTCCTTCCCGGCGGCATCAAACTGAGCCGCCAGCCACGCCTTCACTTCCGCAATTCGAGCGGCATCAGATCCACCGCCCTTTGTTGCGTCCGTTACCACCGGATCACCCACTCCGGAGATCATTTCATTCATTTTTTGCAGTGAGTCGGCTCGGTGAGTTGGAAGCGAGTACCACTGATTCTAATTTTGAATAAGAAAAGAGTTGGGCAATCCGTCGCAGGACAAAACAAAAAGACATTTCAATGTCCCTCTTAAACGCTGAGCTCGCCTCGCCTGGTAACATTTCAATTTTCAACTTTTTTCTTTTATTATTATTTTTTTTTTCACAAGCACTTGTTAACTGTTCAAAAATAATCAATCAAATCAAATTGGTTTTATTTAATTAAAATTTTTTCAATTTTCAATTTGAGTCAAAACTCAAAGCAAATTATTCTGTCTCCCATTTTATTTGTTAAAATGTTTTGAAGTCATATATTATCTTTTTAGAATTTTTTTTTTGTGCCCATCAAAGAATTTTTAGATTGTTTTGGATATTTCTTTTAATATTTAGACTTGCTCGAGAATGTAAACGAAAAAATTAGAGGAAAAAAATGAAAAAATTGAAAATCTTTTTTGATTGGTATTAGTTTTACCTTTAATAAGAAAGATGAAAAAATAAATGGAAGAAAATTTTTTTTTATTATTTAATAAGTTGAAAATAAAAAAAATTTATTATTTTATCATTATAAGTTGCTACCAAAAAGACTGTTTAAAATAAGGTTAATGTTACCAATAATTTTTAAATTATAATAAAATATTTTATATGACACTTGAATTTTAAAAATTTTTAATATGGTATCCGAATTATAAATTTATTAATTAATATGAAATTAAATGATTATTTGTTTATCATATATTATCATTTGGATTTAATCACATTAAAGGTGAATATATTAATTGATAGATTTATAATTTAAATATTATATTAGAAATTTTTAAAATTTAGATACTCATTAAATATTTTATTATAGTTTAAAGATTATTTATGACATTAATATTTTAAAATATAATAACACAAAGTTATTTATAAAAACAATTAAAATTATCCCTATTTTAAAATTATTGATCAAATTATATTTTATATTATAAAATAATTAGAGGAATAATTTAGGAATCAACATATCTATACAATATATTAAAGCTATCCCAAACTTCAATTTAGTCATAACTAAGCAATTTTAACGTCTATTAATTAATCAATAATTGCCATGTCATATTAATTAATTAGTCTCTTTATTGTTTAACTTGTTAGCTGGCACCAAATCTATACCTATATTTATAGATATATTAAAAAGAATTCCCTAGGAGATAGTTCCTTGACACCTGTCCACCATTTGATATTATTATTTTACCCTTTAATCATAATGAAAATTACAAAAATTTTAGAATAAAAGAAACAAATTGCAGTAAGAGAACCCAAAATTATCCAAACAAAACCAAAGAAACCAATCATAAGCAATCACAAAGGAAACCAACAACCATATCTAGAAAACACCCTAAAAAATATTTCAACTAAGTATGAAAATTACAATAATTTCAAAAAAAAAAAAAAAAAAAAAAGCACGGCAACAAGAACCTAGAATCAGCCCAACAAAACTCAGGAATCCAATCAAGTAATTACAAAGTAAACCAACAACCGCACTCAGAAAACAAAAAAAAAAAAACACCCTCTAGCTTAATACCTATATATAAAAACTATCCAAGATAGTTCTCTAACACTTATTCAATTTTCAAAATAACTTTTTTACCCTTAATTTATAATAAAATCAAAATAAAAAAAAATTTGTCATGAAAATATCACAACTAATATCTGCCAAAATTAGCAAAATAAATTAAAATATATAAAATACAGAATAAAAAAATAATAAAAAACCCATAATAACAATAAAATGAGAATAAAAAAAATAACAAGACATGACTTTAGAAAAGGATTTAAGGATTAGGGTTTTGCATTTTATAAGGGTTTTTTCGTTTATGAAGGAAAAAGAAAATTGCAAATCCATATTATACTAACAACCATTAGCGGCAAAAATAGTTAGATTTAGGATTTTAAAGACACAAATGATTAAGATAAAAAAGAAGAGAAAAAGAAAGAAACAAAAAATGATTCTACCAAGTCAAAAGCAATGAGTGAAAGAAAGGAAAAGTTCTTGAAAGATTTGAAACAAGATAAATGATTCTGCCAAGTCATCGACAATGACAATGAAGACTAAATGAGAGATTTGAAAGACAAAAGTGAAAAGAACGACTAATAGGGTTTCTAGAAAGAAGAAGTGTAAAATTGAATTTTAGAGTTTTTATTGATTTTATGTAAGTACCAAAACAGTGCATTTCATTGCATTAAAGAAAGAAAAATAATAAAAAAAAATTGGTTGGCTCAAACTGAATGATTGCACTAAAATTTTGGCTTTTGTATGCTTATTTCTAGTATAATTTTTCATATATTTTAACTTATTCTTTAGGATTTTTGACAAAATTACTCTTAAATACACATTTATCTCATGTGTAGGTATAAATTATGAAAATGAAGAAATTTGGTCAATTTTGACACGAATTTGAAGGATTTTTTATGCAATTTGTGCAAGTGGCCTAAACTAGTATCAATAGGTAAAATTGACACTTCTAAAGTTTTCTTGATTTTCCTTGCATAATTTTTTAGTATTATTTTCATAGTCATTTTTTAGTAAAATGAAGGATAAAAATGTTTATAAAATATTTGAAATATTTTGTAGAAAAAAAAAGATGCAAGGACATTGGTGTGTGGAAGTGATGGAAGTGCATGGCTAAAGCACCAAAACTTCAAGGCATGTTCATCTATGAGAAGAAATAATGTGGCAATTTCAAAAGCTATAATCGGTCTTTACTTTAACTCCTTAGACCAGCCATTCCATGTGAAATCAAATTGCAAAATTGTGAAGGAGCCAAACAACAAACAACCAATGCATCAAAGCTATGTATAGCAAGAATGAAGAAAGCTCAAGAAGTGCCCAGCCAAATAAAGATTTTTTTGGATTTTTTTTATACCTTAAGCTTCTTCCTTTTGGCTATAAATAAGGGGAGAGAGCTAGCAATTAGAGAAAATTTAGATTAAGATTTAGATTTTAGTTCTTTACTTTTCTGCATTTTTTTTAACTTTTTATTTCTTAATTGCTAAACAGATTTATTTTTAGCATTTTCCTTTTGAATTTTATTAACCCTAAGGAGCAAAAGAAGCTAAGACATGTGTCGAAGCCAATTGAGAACAGGGACATGCAAAACAAATATAAGTTACTTAAGGAACGATTAAGGGTAATTGAAAGAAATGACATTTTTTGAAGTATTAATGCTAATGAACTCAGCCTGGTACTTAACTTGATTATTTAAGCAGAATTCAAAGTTTCCAGTTTTAAAGAATATGATAGGACAAGTACCTTACTACCTACATTACCATGTTTTGCTAAAAAATGATTGGGCACACTTATAATGACAAGCTCTTAATCCATTGCTTCCAAAATAAGTTAACTAGGTTGGCAACTAAGTGGTACATACAACTAGTTTAGAGTTGGATCCACTCTTAGAAAGATTTGGCACGAGCTTTTTATCACCTATTACAAACATATGATCAACATGGCCCTTGATTGGTTGTTGCTCCAAAATATGAAAAAAAAGCCCATAAAACCTTTAAAGAGTACACCCATCGATAGAGAGATGTGGTTGCTTAAGTACAACACTATTGATTAAAAAAAAGACAACTGTGTTGTTTGTAAATACTCTTGGAGCACCATACTACGAGAAACTGATGAGAAATGGCACCAAAAATTTTGTTGACATGGTAATCTCTAATGAAATGATTGAAAATGCCATCAAAACTGGTAAAATCGAGGGGCATGATTCATCCACTACGAAAAAAGAAATAGCTATGAAGAAAAAATAAGGAAAAACTCACACAATGACTTATGAAAGCACACCACCTAGATCGTTCACACTGTATCAGCCCTACCTAACTTACCTACCTCATTACCTTTCGATAAATTAAGTGTCACAAGGACCCTGCCCTTATCAACCACCTCACCAACCACCTTATTAACCACCATATCAATCAAGTTTTTGTCTTCAAATGCCTAGTTACACCATTGCTTTAGCAACTTAATCTTTTGCCCTATAAACCATCCAAGCATATAACTAAGAAAGTTCATGTGATAATCCAAAAAAAGACCTAGTTTGATCCAATCTTGATGCCCTATATGAATTTGTACCTATAATTGTTAAAAGTTCATCTTATCGTTCCTGTTTGTATAAAACCTTTGAAACTGTCATACCCCAAATGGTATGATCCCAATGCTCGGTGTGATTATCATTTCGAGAATATGGGACATTCCATTAAAAACTACATGGCCTTTAAAAACATAATGTAGAGTCAGATAAAAAATGGGAAGTTGACTTTTGATACTAGGAACAAGTCAAGCGTAGTGGGAACCCTCTTTCGAATCATGTTAAGGAAGGGGTAAATGCTTTGGGTGATGAACAAAAGGTAAGAATTAAAAGATAGGTAGATAAGGTAGAGACTCTTTTCGAGCGAGTATATGATTGTTTAGTAAAGACAAATATAATATAGGCAGTATCTCAGAATGCTAATAAAAATCATGATCTTGCTCATGTTCGCAAGTATCATGGAGAGGTGGTGGGACATTCCATTCAAGAATGTAAAGCCTTCCCTCAATTATTACAAAATTTGATGGATGCACATTTGATAGAATTATATTTTAGGTTTGATGAAAATGTGAATATGATAGTGTGAGAGCCTTTTAGTAAGACTTTTATCCTTAAGTCATTAACTATTTTCTATAATGAGAAGCCAAAGCCCATGGCAATAGAACCTATCTCTCTTTCTAAGATGACATTGACAATTTATGTCCCTAACCCTTTCCCTATGAAAACAACAAGGATGTCCCTTAGAAATATGATTATGATGTTGAGATTCAAAGCCTAATACCAATACTATTTTAGACAGCTTGGTAATGCAGCGAACATAATCGGTGTAGCATGAATGACCAGGAGTGGTCAGTGCTACACTCCAAAAATTTTGGAAAAAGATAGAAACGGTAAAGGTAAAGTAGGAGAAAATGAAAAAGAAGGTGAAACGGCTCACCTAATATAAAGCTTAGAAGTGTAAATCAAAGAGTCAGTGACAGAAAGAGAAGCTTGTGAATTTTTTAAAATTATCAAGGATAGAAAATATAATATTGTTGACTAGTTGAACAA